CCTCAGGTAATCTGCCCGCATCAGCCTCCCAAAGTGTTGGGATTACAGGCATGAGCCATTGTGCCTGGCCTGTGTATGTGGTTTTTTTTTTGAGACAGGGTCTTGCTCTGTCTCCTAAGCTAGAGTGCAGTGGGGAAACCACAGCTCACTGCAGCCTCAACTTCCTTGGCTCAAGCAATCTTCTCACCTCAGCCTCCCAAGTAGCTGGGACTGCAGACACGCGCCACCACATGCAGCTAATTTTGGATTTTTTTTTAGAGTCGGGGTCCTACTATGTTGTCTGGGCTGGTCTCGAACTCCTGGACTCAAGCAGTCCACCTACCTTGGCTTCCCAGAGTGTTGAGATTACAGGTGTGAATTACAGATGCCCAGCCCCCATCTCTAATATTGGGGATCACATTTCAACATGAGACGTGGACAGGACCAACATCTAAACTATCTCACCTGGCCAGTGTCTTCATTTTTAGTGGCTGCTGCGACAAGGCAATACAAACAAGGTGGCTTACCACAAATTTATTCTCTTCAAGTTCTGGAGGCTGGAAGTCCGAAATCAGGGTACCTGCAGGGCTACATTCCCGCCAGAGGCTCTAGGGAAGGATCTTTTCCTGCCTCCCAGGTTTCCTTGGCTTGTGGCTGCATTACTGCAATCTCTGCCTTAATCTTCACATGAGAAACTGTGTGTTTCTGTGTCCTCCCCTGTTCCTTTTTTTTGAGGCAGGGCCTTGTTTTTTTGTTTTTTTTTTTCTGAGACAGAGTTTCACTTGATCACCAAGCTGGAGTGCAATGATATGATCTCGGCACTCACTGCAACCTCCACCTCCCGGATTCAAGCAGTGGTTCTGCCTCAGCCAAGTAGCTGGGATTATAGGCATGTGCCACCATGTCCGGCAATTTTGTATTTTTAGTAGAGATGGGGTTTCTCCATATTGGCCAGGCTGGTCTCGAACTCCGGACCTCAAGTGATCTGCCGGCCTCGGCCTCCCAAAGTGCTAGGATTACAGGCGTGATCCACCGCGCCTGGCCGAGACAGGATCCAGGCTGCAGTGCAGTGGTCCAATCGTAGATCAGCCTAAACTCCTGGCCTCAAGTGATCCTCCTGCCTCAGTTGTCTCCCAGAGCACTAAGATTACAATCTGGAGCCCCTGCACACAGCCCTCTCCTGTTCCGATAGGAATACCAGTCATTGGTTTTAGGGTTCACCCTAAATCCAGAATGATTTCACCTTGAGATCTGTAGCTAATTATGACTACAAAGACCCTGTTTCTAAATAAGATCAAATCCTAAGAGTCAGGCTGGACATGAATTTTGACGCTATTCAACCCACTACATTCAGGGTCACACTGTAATCCACCCCCTCCCTCTCTCATCCCATCCCAGGCTTTTCCCCCTGGTCAGTGTCAACCTCTGGCCTCTGCTCTTCCCTCAGGGCACCCTCTTCCTTTCAACCCTCTCACCAGTCTGAGCTTGCTCACCCCTCCTGCCATCCTTCCCAAGTCTCATGCTCTGCCTCTTCTTATTTGCAGTGGTGACCCCCCCATTCCCACTGCCCCCCTGCATTGACCATGGTCAAGGGGCCTATAGCCCCCATCCCTACCTCCTTTTCATATGCTTTCCTGAATAGTGAGTCTGGAAACCTGAAATCACAGTCCCAGACTCCCTTGCAGTCGGTTCTAGATGTGAACTTGGCTCTGACCACTAGATTTACTGAGATGAGTGTGGGAGAGGCTCCTCCCTGCTGCGAAGACACGTGTCCCTACAGCAGTGTCACCAGCTCCAGCTGCAGCTCTGTGAGTGTGGAGAGACAGAGTCTCACTCTGTTGCCCAGGCTGACGTGATCTCGGCTCACTGCAGCCTCCACCTCCCAGGTTCAAGCGATTCTCCTGCC